AGATTTTATTCGGTTTTTTAATTACATATAAAAAAAGTCTAAAAGGGTTAATATTTATAGAAATATATGGCATTGATCCTATTATTTAAATTACTCTGATTTCTGTCCTGTTTTATCTATCCATTTACAGAATTCAGTTTACTGATACTACGAGTTTACTGTATATATGTATATATATAGTATAGATACAAAAATTAAAAAAAAAATTGGCTATGCCTATAATGGAAATCGATTTTATTGTTCTATTTGTCCATCAACTCAGTTTATTGAGTATTAGTAAAACTTATGATTATTATGTTTCATTGGGAAAAAAAGTGTACTGGAGTTGTATGTTTGTAAATTTATTTGTCATTAGATATATATGAAATGGGTTGAGTATCAGAATAGAGACGTCAGAGAAAACCATTCAAAAAAAGAGATATCTAAATGCAAGTAAATGCAAAACATTCAGTAATATAGTCACTTTGTACTACCTATAAATGATAATATATTTCTCTTTAATAGGTTTTATTTCACTAATGAATTATTTGATAATTCTTAGTTACCATGTGATACAAAGTAAAAAAAGTTTAACCAAATATTTGATTATGATGAAGTGAGCAAGAATAGTAATTAATTATAAATCAATTATTTTGTTATCAGTTTGTGTACTCAAAGATTGAATTATATTTTTAGTAGTGAATTCCTTGATATCCATAACATAAATATTACGGCTTGAACATTTTTAATTCGTAACATGTACATTGTAATTTATCTGACTTGCTCAAAAAGAGCATATTTTATTGTATACAAATATTTAGGAAAGTAGTTGATGTCTTGAGGTGCTAAAGAAATAGTCTCTCTGGCAAATAGGATCATAATGAGACATCTATGAATTAACATATATATAAAGGAAATTGAAAATGGAATCCCTTTCATGGTTGAAGACTAGAAATAAGTTTGTGAAGAAGATTAAAGACTGGAAAAACAATGACTAGTCCTAATTCAAGTAAACCTAGGAATTCGTTAATCTCTACAACCCTTTATGTTAACAAATATTTATTAATATTTAATGTCTGATTAGAAAATATGCAGGTCTTACACTTACCGATATTCTAATCAACATTTCCGGTTGTGAAATATAAAATGTTACTAGAAAAGATGGATAGTGGCAAGCAGTGGAATCCGGTGCGCGTGTTTCGTCCTATTTGGGACTCGTTAGCCGGATGTACCTGCCACTATCCATCTTTGCTTATAATGCTTATGAATTGAGGCTATGTCGAGGCAATACGCACAGTATGCAAATATGGCCAATAAGAGACTTACCAGTTGCAGTCTTAAACATCAATGGGAATATTCAAACAAATAATTCTAAGTGAACAAAATGTTACTGTAAGTTATACCCCCACATCTCTACTCATCATCCTCATTATAAGTTATCTATTTCACTAATTCATACAACCAAATTAAAAATTCATTTGAACGATTCAACAATCAATTAGACTACTAAATAACTGAATCAGAATTTTTTGATTGAATATACCGGTATATTTTGTCCATTAATAAATAATAAAGAAAAACATCCCGTTGAATTCATTATTTTTAATCGATAGACTAAATCATTCTTGTAATTCATACAATAAGCCAATCTTAAAAAAAAAATAACTGAATCAGTTGTTCCGTGACTATTTTTTTCTGTCAATAATTAGGAGACCATGTGAAATGAATATTCAATGAAGTGAGAAGAATTAGAAATTTTTTTATTATTTATTTGAATGACAGTTAAAAGAACAATTAAACTAAATGCAGTACAATTTGTTATAAGTTTTTAAAATTAAATAAATTAAAAACAAAAATAAACTACGTATGGTACAATGTAGTGAACAAGAACATGGGTGGGGACACTCGAATGTATATAAGTACAAATTACAGATCATCTCACTAAATTCTGATAACCATACATCAAACAGTTAATTTTCAAAATAACAATCAATTGTCTCAATCTTAACTGTTTCTTCTTCAAATATCAGTCCGTCTTCTCTTATTTCATTGTTCATACATTTTCATACAGATTGTGCTTCGTCCCTGTTCTTTATTTATCGAGCTTCTGCCAAAATAATTCTATGTATGACTATCACCATATACTTCTTAAATGTATATAAGTAGACCACACTACACAATAACAGCTACTTTTTTTTCAAATTAAATATATATATATAATCATAAAAATATTAGTTGGATACCTGGAGTACATGACTCAGTAATGTTAGATTTTCATGTTTATATACAAATCAAACAATCGATTGTTTATATTGGTTCTTTGTAAATATCAAAAATATCAGAAGGGGGTTTTGTGTAGATTTTAGTAATTTTATATAGTTGAAATCATGAATCAATTGAGTCTAGACCATCATGGAAAATCTGAGAGCACTGGACAGCCGTTTCTTTCTATTGTGGGATTCTTCAGCAGTGCTCATGCACGATCCTGCCTCGCGAAATTCGAACCTAGTACCTAACAGTCTCGCGGGCGAGCACTTAAGCGAAAGACCACTGAGTCGGCATCCAGCACACTGCTGAGGAGTCACACAATATAATGAAACTTCTGTCCAGTGCATCCAGATTTTCCATGGTTGTTTAGCTTTAATTGACTCATGATTTCAACTATATTATAAATATATTTTAATTATATATATTTATCATTTTGATATCATAATTACTAAATTCAGCAAATTGAATTTAGGTGAAAAAGAACAGCCAATTGGTTATTTCTTTCTATGAGTTTTCATTTATTATTGTATAAGTTATGTAAGGCGATTTTATTATGACTCAAATATATGAATGGCAATATGCAATACAATTTTTGTATTGTGGATTTTAAAGATCAGAAAAATGACTGATTAGACTTTTCTTATTTTAATTTCTTTTAACTGTTAACTAAACTTATTAAAAATAGCATATGTACAGGTTCTGATCATCAAAAAGTAATACTAGTAACACCATACATCATTACAATCAAAAGTGTATTAATGAACATGACTTTGTGAGTGATGAAATTGTTTAAGCTATCATCCAATGAACCTAACTTGTATGGTAATTCTCACCAAGTAAGTATTTCAGCTAATATAATCCAAATGAATATTTATAAAAGGTAAGATTGTTAGGCTAGTTAAGACAATAACTATCAGATAAAACATATGTTTTATTATGACTATCCTAATTTTTCAGGCAAGGAATACAATTACATCTTATTGTAAAGTCTAACCATTCATTAATGAAGTGTAATAGAATTTTTAAAAGTTGTTTTCTCATTTTCTTCCCCTACATATTTTTTTTTCACTAGTTTTATTTATTTCCGTTGCCAGTTTACGATTAACTAATTTTAAGTCATAATTTATTGAATATAGTTTAATATTTTTGTGAAAATTCTTTTTTTTTTTTTATAATTTCCTGTTATTAATAAGATTGTATTATACTATTGAAAAATAAGTCATTGTTTATAATTTTGGCTAAATGAAAAATAGTTTATTTCCTCCATTTTTTTTGTTTTGTTTTAATTCACTATATTCATATACATATAATTAACTCCTAGACGAAATGACTGACAGTATAGATGTTTCTATAAAACTAAAATCATTTTAAACTAATATACTCAATATTAATTATTAGTAACATTATGATTACCGAAAATTCCTTTGAGCAATTAATTATTCTTAATTCGTAAGGTCATATATAAATGAAAACATTGAAAATATAATGAGTGACGTTATCTTATCTAAAGTATTATAAATGGGTCAACGAATATATAGTATGAAGAGTAAGAAGAAGATACACCTCTTTCTTCCCCATTATATATTTTTTATAATCATTGAACTACGAAACAAACTAGTAGGGCGAAACATTGATTGGAAAACTGTTTCCATTAGTTATTGTAATTTAAACTAAATTCGTTGCACAAAAATCAAGTGTTAAGTCATAAAATTAATGATGTGGTTATTTACAACCCCCAAATGCCTTTGTACGGTCGAGAGTAGGCAAAAGCTCTCACATGGCCACGCGTATGTAGCCTCTGCTAGGGAAGTCCTACTCACTGCATTATAGTGGCGGGGGTGTTGTTTGCGAAATTGAGAGGACGAAAAGCGAATGTCCGGCGCTTTAACTGGGTTGGTGGACACGGAAGGTTCACCTAGGGAAGTTGGGAAACCCCGATTCTAAACTAATAGTGCACATGGACTCCAGTATCCTGAGGGAACGAAGGGCGTATGAATAAATCGTTGGTCACCAGCTACCATGGGACTACATCTCCTTACGATGTTTCACTGCCTTGTGGATCAGACCTTTAGGTCAAAGGCTCCGGGTGTTGCTCCATAAGAAAAGCACCTGTTTCGGTTTGGGCACCCGGGCACGATCACAGCCATCACACAAATCAAATGAGATTTATATGGCTCATATGTATCTGTTGTCTGCTAGTACTAATATTTATGAGTTTAAATAAAATAAATTACAGCAATTCCAAAGATTCTAGAGGATAGGCATAATGGAATTACATAGTATATCTCTCAAAAGTGACTATGTATATAGAGTTCCCGTAATATCCTCGTAAAAGATCCATTATATTCAAGTGGATTCCAGGCAAATTTAGATATTAGATTAGCTAACTCACTACTAGTGTTTAAAGTTTAGAACTAGTCAGAAATACAGGTACAGATCAATCTAACGTTATGATTCATAGTTTTCATATTTTTATACGAAACTAAAGTTAAAAAAAGCAATATCATAGACCATATACAAAGTTTTTATTGTCATTTCGAACAGCGCCATCAACCTTTACTTCCACACGATAAGAATAGTCTAGATAAATAACAATTTTCGGGTTAAAGTAAATCCTTATTATCAATATAATAGTGTATATAGTGTAACCACTTGGCAAGTAATATAATTCATGTTTAGAAATTTTATTGAAAACGAGATTTGGGGAAAAAATTTTAAGAAAATAACGAAGTAAAAACAGAAGGTAGACTTACGCAATTCTTTTGTCATAAAAGTTACTTTATTACTTGGGTCAGACATTCCCAACAAATTATTCACTGCACAAACTTCTACCACATACATTGTATGTGGTTTTAAATCAGTTAATTTATATTGTAATGCACCATGTAAGTGAAATTGTCTTGCCGGAATATCTGTTATTTGTTTCTTATTTGTAATTGTTTGTCCATTCTCCATTTCATATAAAAATACTGTATATGAATCAACAGTACGTGTAGTAGTTGTAGCGGTTTGTTGAATATCAGCTGGTGACCATTGAAGAAAAGCAAATGTTGGTCCTTTTTCTAAACACATTAAATCGACAGGGGGCGGGGGAACTTCTGTAAATTAAACAGAAAAAAGGCAGTTGTAATTTTAATGATAAAGATTTATAGAATGATTTCTGTAGTTGTTTAACTTATTAATCTATTGAAGTACATGTTAAATATGGAAGTGGATTTCAGTTTAAGAACACATAGCTTTAAGTGAAGTGGGCTAGTTTTAGTTTGTTGACAGTTGATCAGCTTTGATAATATAATTAATCAAATATCCATTGGAAAGATGAAACAATAATTTCTGGTTTTCACCATATGTTCAGTTTTGATAACTATAAATCAAAAGATAGTATCTGATAGCATTATGATAAAATTATTCACAATTAACTTAAACGTCAATCATTAACTTCAGTAAATAATAATAAAACGTTTTTTTTTAAGTCGACAGTCTTTATGTATACTATTGCTTAGAAATGATACATGCATGAAACTGCTTAATTTTCATTAAAATCTGTGAGATCAGAAGTAGAAATAATCGATTACAGAACAAGCTGGAGAAAGAATAAATTACATGCTGAATTTTCTGAGTCAACTGTCTAGTTCAGTAAGCGGAAGAAGCCAAAAATAGTAAGTATGAACAACAGAAGGAGAAGCAAAAAGAAATTCAATAAAGATCTAACAAATGATAAAACTATTGTTGTTCAATTTAAAATGACATTTTTTAATAATTTATGTTTGCAAACTATGTGTATTTTAAGATTAGTTTTAGAGTGATTTATCACTTATCACTTATCAACTAAGCTAATACCACGATCCGTAATCTTATGCAGAACTGATGTAAACCAGATGTTTTTTAAAAGTACTTCAGTAGTGTATAATCTAGTTTTACATTTTATTAAAGTAAACAACTACATGTTCTGTAACAATCCCGTTGAATTCAACCCATAACAATCCACTCCTTCATAGATTACTACTACTTTGGTGAAAATAAAGCAGGAGTTCTATACTTGAACACCTAATCGAATGTAGTCATTCTACGGATCCACAGTCTGATTTTATGGTTGTTTATATGATTCATTCAAATTTACCTAGATTTCTTCGTATCAAACTCCTAAAAATAGCCAAAGCTCTTGCCATCCATGAGCTCAAACCAGAACTATGCGTTCAAAAGAAGTACGTCTAATCATTATCGTTACCTTGGCCTTAATATTATTATTATTATCATTCTATTATTATTATTACTCTAATCCTCCTTTACTTATGTTTTATATTCTCATTATTTTATTCATGAATACTCATCATATCACCGTATTTATTTTTACATTTTATTCATTTTAATCATCTTATTGTATTCACTAAATCTATTGTTACTACTCATATTACGTAATCTAGTATTATAACCTGGGTTATTAGTGTTCACATTTCCTCACGGATTTAGTACTTTAACAAAACATTTTCATATATATATATATATACGGTTTTACAACATGATAATAAATTCGTTGAAAAGAGATCCCTTCGCTGAACTTCGTGTTTAAATAAGCTTTCTACTAAGACACAAGAAAATGTCTGATACAATCTAGCTATTACCTAATCAATAGTGATCATGATATAAAATAGTCAGTTAGAGATTTTCTTCTATTCTGAAACAAAATTTTACTGAACTACACAGAAACTCCACTATAATTAAAGATGTCAATAATGACATTTAGTACTCTCAGACAAATATAAAAATATTAATAATCAACTTATGATGAGGTACAGTAGGTAATTGTTAGATATATACATAGATATATATCTATATTCACTTTCTAATTTTCATTGGCTCTCTATATTGGTGTTAAATGTTTTTCTTTTAAATTCTTTTTTATTTTTATTCAAATTTCCCCAATTGAAATTTAATCAATTAAACTTAGATACGATAGAAACTTTGAAATAAATCAATTTAAGTTTTATTCTGTTTATTTAAAAAAAATTTTTTTTTTTCGAAAAAATTTTTTTTCTTCAATAAAATCGAGTTAATTTAACCATAACTAATCTGTTTATTTTTTTAGAATGTTCACTCTCCTAACTATTTTTTAAAAATAAGAATAAGAGAATTGGATAAAATAATAGGATTCAATAACCGAGGAAAATTTTTTTTTGCTTTTTTTATTTTTTTTTTGTGTTTCTATATCGGAACAAAAAAACATTTGGATATTTGACATTGTGTGTCATTTGGTTATTGTCAATTTTTTTAAATTTTTTTTGTTACCATGGCATATTATCCATATTTTTTTTATAAAACTAAAAAATAATCAATTCTACTAATTTTTTTTATAGAAATCTACAATCAGAAAAATGAATAAGACTGATGACGAGAATAATTATGTTAATAACAATGAGTTGACTTGGTTGAATCATTGATTTGTTTAAAGAATTGCTATTGGAAATTTTAATTAAAGCATTTGATCTGGGATATTAACTGATTTGGCAATGAACATCAATATACATTGATCGTATGACAGATATTAACAATAGTAGTTGAAAGTTATATGTTATCAGTGAGTAGTCAATACCGGATCAGATATAAAAACTAGAACATTACTGTCTAGCTTCATATCCGTTAGTTCAAAACCATTATTGTTTGGTACAGTGGTAATTGTTTCTTAAGTCAATCAGTTTGCAGTATAGCAAGATCATCTGTGAGTGTTATTAGTGACAAACGTTTTTGTTTTCTAACATTTCTCACTGTTCACTATGATTTTAGGAATTGATCTCGGGAGCACTGAGTCCCACAACTGATCTTTGATAGGATTATTGAGAAGTCTCACGATACAATGATACAGCTTTCTAACGCTGAGTTGATCCGAATAAAGTGTCGTTAGTTAGCGACAGAAACTATCGTTAAATTTTTCGGGTAGAAATCTATTATAAATAATATATTAATAATTTTAACGGAGTATCTAAATTTACTTCGTTAGAATTTGTATTCTGCACTTATTCCAAGGTATATCTTGCAGATTCATATCGTGATAATTTTGAAATTTTTGATTCGCTCTTCAAAATATGGGGAGGTAGTTCAGTGCTAACGAATTTTAGTTTGACTGAAATTAAATCATACCGTATTATGTGTCCTTTAAGTAGCTATATTATCACAACTGAAGATATTCACAAGATTTTCTCGATCAATAAGTATCACATTTCTTGAATTTAAATATAGTCAAACGACTTCTTCATTAGATAAACACTTCTGTAAGGTTTCATTATAGAACGATACGGTTGTTATAGTCCTTCCTGATTTTCAATGGTTTTTTAAGTTGAATTCATTAAGTTTAAATTTCCACAAACCTTTCACTATCATATTTTTTTAGGATTTTATTTTAGCTTTTGTCTGTACAGGTTGATTCCTCGCCATTTTTATGGTGCGTTAACTGAGTATTTTAGTACGCCGATTCTCCTAGTGGTACAATAAATTTAATTGAGAATACTGAAAAACCAGAACGCTAGTTGTTGAGAAAGTGTATTCTTATTAATTAATAAAATCCACATGCATGAGAGAGGCAAGCACACTGGAAAATCAGTGAATGAATCTGTGTATTGCTTACCCCATTCATCACATGTCTTTGATTTGTTTTTGTGTGATTATAAATAATAAGTTACGCTTTGTCATAATAAATCGGCTTACACTCCTTCTCCGTCTCTCTTCGCTTTCTCGTTTTCCATTCATAATGTTTATGTTTGAAGGGAACTCATCCGACGCAACCCATATTTGGCTTCTTGTTACTACCATCACACAAACGGGGCAAGCATAGGTAATATACGTGGATAAATAGAAGATTTATGTTCATAGCATATTCATACGTTTATCCGAATCGAAGTCAGATTAGAGATCCACAAAAAGCCACTCAAAATTCTAAATTAAAGTTATGTTTACAAAAACAATTCATAGATCCCTCATTTATTCATGTTCATGTCGAATGCCCACAAGAAAGTTTATTTTCTGTCGGAATCAATTTTTTTTGTTGTTATCCATATTAGATAGAGTTTAGTTTAATATTAGGCTTCCTGAAATTAACACTTCAATTTTCCCCTTGACGATAATATATATATATATATATATATATATATATCATACATTTCTTTATTTATAACTGTTTTATTAAAATGATGTGGTAAATTACTGATCACCATTCATTATATTATTATTCCAACATGCAGGCAGTCTATTTCTTGACCTTAATTATACACATCTATGGGGTTGTTTACTTATGAAAAAAGACGTTTCGATTAGCATTATAAGCAGAGATGGATCAAGGATTAGAGTGGAATCTAGGAGACACGTTTCTTCTTACTCGTGATTCGTCAGCTGGATGTACCTGCATGCCTAAATATCAATGGGAAGATCCGAACAACCTTTGAATAGTATTCGGCAATAGACTGCTAACGATTACTAGATTTAAGCAGATTAAATATTGAGCTTCTTTGTAAGAAGATAATTTACTTGAAACATTTTTAAGAAACATATTCTCACTCATGTATGTAAATTGAACATACGTGCCTTAAACATGTTTCCAGATTTTAGTTACTGGCTTTTATGCATGACGTCAAAATATGTCTTGTCAAACAATAACAAAAGAACATATTTTATATGCTGGGCTTACTGTTAAATAAATTGAGTTAATTACATGATTATCAAGGAATTTGGCTTTCACTTTGTTGTTGATCAAAGAGTTAATGAAATAGCATAGAAGGAGCTTTTTTATAAAATTATAAAAAGTTAGTTCATGAGACTGTATCTATATTTAATTTGTACGTTGTTATTTTAATCAACTATGTAACTAGATTAACTGGTCAAACGTTTACAACAAAGTGTTAAGGAGTTGTTGGAATGTGATACAACTGTCATTAAATAAATTATTAATTTGAAAAAAGTGGAATGATACCCTGTGACGAACAACATGAGAACTCATAATTTATAATTGAGGATCCAGCTAGCAACAATTTTCGCTTCATATAAAATGAAAATCATCAGCGGTTGTACGGCAATATAACTTTGGTATCAACAAGTGCTTCGAATTTAGAATGTCACATTTTTGAGAAAGTGATTATCTCAAGTCTTCCATCTATTATTTTACTATAACTAAAAATGACATCTAATCAGAATGGCCATTTAGTGCTGTTAAAATATTTTTGTTTTCTATTCATGGTTTTCAAATAATCAAATCTTTTGGGATGAGTTGGTTTATATCTACCGATTATAAGCTAAAGTCAAGGAAGTGAAGTGATTAATAAGTTCTCAGATCATCCTAGGTTTTTGAAAAAAATCATACATCCTACCTAACTGCATACAACCTACTTGGTTTCCTTTTATTAAAATCATTTTTAAAGATTATCAAATTCTTAGTGAATGTTCACATTTTAATTCATTAATTACTTACCGATTATTTGGATTCTAACAGGATGTTGTACAGTCCCAAGACTATTGTTCGCTTCACAAATATATCTTACAGGCTCTGTAATATCTGCTAGATATAATGTTGAAGTACCTTCAGTAAAATCTGTAATAGGTCGTTCACTATCAGTAAGCCATCTAGTGGTTGTAGTAGGATTTCCTGCTGCACGACAAGTTAAATTTGCATTATGTCCAAAACGTACTCCAACTTGATCAATTTTATCAATTATTTTTGGTACAAAATAAGTATCTGTAACCAATAAAATACAAAAAGTACATTCCGGAAAAAAAATTATATTAAGTAAACATAGTAACCATGTTTATTTTTTAAATTGTGAGTAGTTTGAATAAACATTGAAAAAGAAATTAATAATTTTATAGTCAATATCTTATTATATGGGAATAAAGTCATATTAAAACGTATGACAGAATAGTGTTATCCAAACATATATACATAGGGTGGATTGAATGAATATTAATCAGATTAATTTCATAAAACTATTATCCCATTGTGATCATTATGATAATAACCGTATTTCAATAAAGGTGTAAAATGTGTTGATGTTTTGTCTATGATAATTACATAGTAACAACAAAAAGAAAAAAAAACTGAAAATAATTTTCAATATTAGTTCATTTCCAGTCCATTTTAATGAAAAATAATTTTGGAAACTGTATTACAATATTTGAATATGAATTTGCGCTATGAGATAATGATGTTTTTGGTAATATATTGATCTGTGAACTAGATAAATTAGCTGTATGATTCACATCATCGTTCTGGATAACAAAATCAGTGTTTACTTCAGGTGGAAGTAAATGTAATAATCACTTTGTAATTGTTAATTCTGTTTATTTTGCGGCCCATGTTTGTGATTGGTTGTTTACATTATTAAACTACCTAACTCAGTGAACATAACACACATAGTATTTTAGAACACTAATAGTTTCTGAAGACACTCAAAATAATGCAGTCAACACTTTACTTTTCTGAAAAAAAACCTTTTTGGTTGCAATCTACTAAATCACTTCAAGGCTTGAAAGTAGCTTAAAGAAATTGAATTCATGAAACTAAAGTCTAGACTGATTATTGCTTATCAGTAAAATGCTACCGTAGAGATCATTGACTCAATACTTGGTGCTTAGTAACTTAAGATTGAAGACACTAGAGAACATTCTTAAGCTTTATTTCTTTTTATGAATATTATTTGATTTCATATAATAAGTTAACCAATAATTTTAAACGATGTTAATCGTCAAAAAGATTCTGTGAAGCTTGTGCGTAATCATCATTACTTTATAGATTATTTCGCTTTTGATTTGAATTCCAACTAAAAACACCCAAATATGTGTACTACTTTCTGCCTGGTCTGAATACTTGTCAATTTATGACTACAAGAGAACGAAGTTGACAGCTCTAGGGATTACTGGTCGTCAAATCATTGCGGCAAGTACAACGCATCACAGATCTGATATCATTAAATGAAGCTTAGTAGCTAAAGTGAAGATAAATACATTTTCCTTTTACATATAAAGGTAAAATGATGTACATTATGCTGGTTCAAAAAACTGGAATCAACTAAATAAATAAATAAATAACACAGTTCGGAATATCTACTCTTTGTTCAAAGGTGATCAAGTCAATTAATGAATAACATCTCAATTGAATACATACCGTTAACATTACTATCTACTTGTAAGTTACACAATTATTGATGAAACAGAACTTACTTTTAACTCTCAAATAAGCTTTTGAACTTAATACTGATCCAGCTTGATTAGAAACTAGGCATTCATAATGTCCTTCATCTGATAATAATAGATGTTCAAATAATATTGAACCAGTCCCTTAAAAATGAAAGAAAATTACAAAAAAATACTGTTTCGATAACAGTGAATCAATAATAGTAACGTTAAAAGCAATCGCATAATATTAAAAGAAGAAGAGTATTACATATTTCGTCCATCTATCGTCATTTAACGTTTGTAAATATCTGAATGATAGAATAATTCACTATTTATAAAAGTGAAGCCGATTTGTCAATGATCAAACATCTTGTTGGATAAATGTTATTTATTGTTAAGTTGATATATATTCTGGAACTTATTTACACAATATTCATGAAACATACTTCTGTTAGTGATATATGTCTAGTACTTACATTTCAGGTTATGCATTCTGTGAAACTGAAGTGTAGTTCAAATTATGAAGTATGATGGAAAATAGGAATGATATATTCCTTTCTTATTCGAATAGGAATACTTCATTAGACTTTATAACTGTTTTAAAACTAAGTTGACTTGTTAAAAAGCAGCTGGCATATGTCTTAATTTAACCGAACTCCCTGAATATAAGATTTTCCTTAATGTAACTTGGAATTATTGTAATGTATCAAAATAGTCGTTTGACCCATATTAAGGCGTTGTAAGTAAATGATCTCACAGTTGTTGTAAAACAAGTTGATCAATAAGTGGATATAAACATTGAAAGGTTTTAACTTCATTATTCAGTATTACTTAGGGAAATAAGGCACTCAACAATAATAAATTTGCTGAATTTTGAAATCCTGTTTTATAAAATGAATGAAAGCTAGACTCATTTCCAAGTACGTTACATATTATGAAACTTCATACAAATTATTACAAAAAATGTCTAGGGAAACTGTTAACTACATATGGTGCTTGTCTTGATTGCGTCACAGATTGGAATGTACAATTAAATTCTCTCATTAAAAGCCTAATACGACTCACTATGAAAAAGTTAATATTTACTCAAAGGATGACTTGAACAAAAATCTGTGTTTCTATATGTTTTTACATCGTGTGTAATCAAAATATTGTACTATAAACAATGTTTATATATGTAATAAGCAACAAAAAATTGTAATAGTGAGTATAAATGGTTCAGATTTTTGGTGAAATTGTTAAGAGTAAACAAAGTGTTCTTCATGGAAACCATGTAAATTTTTATTGTACTTTTAGCATATATATATATATATACAGTAGAGATGAATATCCTTTGATGAAACTATTTTATGAATTGGCACCGGTGGATATAACATTGTAAAGCTACTTTCAAACTCCAGGAAGCTATGAGAGTAGAAATTCACTTTCACCTATCCCATTTTTTGTCATCATGACTCTTCGTCAGACACTATAAATTACAATTTTCATGACGCATATACATATATATAACATTCAGACGAAATCCGGAAGCTAGACAATTCACAGACCATATCTATTATTTCTGTTATCTATGTAACAAATCATTAGAAAAAGAATGTGACGTATGTCGGCAAAATGCAAAGTTTTGAAACTTTGTTATACATAACTATTTTTTTTTCATTAAAAGAAATTATCTCTGTGGTAAAACTTAATCATGTATAGCTAAATAATAAACAGGCTTCTTTGTCATATTTTCTTTGCATACATAGATACACATTATATAGACATAAATATGTACAAATGCTTCCCAAAAGATGAAAAATGCTTTATACACAAAAGGTATGTAAGAAAACATATGTAAAAGAAAAGAGGCTAAATATGAAATTTTGTAGCCGACAAGATTTATAAGCATAATGTTAACATAAATCTAAATTATGAAATTAATATAATGCTTGTTATATTTTAATAACCCTTATGTAATACTGGTTATGTCATATTATTAGCATGGATGGCTGTCTAAAGCCAATTTTCCATGTCTAATGAAATAAGGAGATAAAAGTGACTTTTTTATGGTGTTGAAATAATTTCTTATATGAATTTTCATGTTTATATGATTAGGAATTCATAACAGACTTAAAAAGAGAAAATAAATAATAGAACCAAGGGTTGATTTTGATAATGAATTCATTGATAACTTGTTTTTATTCTCGTAATGACCACTATTTAAATGATCTAGATCATGAATTAAACCTTAGGGGGGATATTTGAAATCCATCTTGGTTGATTCTATGGAAAATCGTAGAGATAGGTTTGTTTGTTGGCTTGGGATTTGTAGAAAAACGTATCTCTAGTGTTTGGCACAGGTTTTGTTTTTACAGAGTTCATTGTTTCCTTAAGATATCCAAAAACACCACACTAAGGAGCACCGAATGGTTTTTGACATGGGTTCATTACTTCATCTTGATCTCTTACAATCGTCTAAAATCCGAAAATAGTGAACATGATCTATTCAGTCAGCCTAATGAACGGGTTGATCAGATTTGATCAGCTTCTAGGACTCGATAAACATAACGGTGGTTACAATTCAGTTATCGGTGAGTTGAAATAAATGATTGTGCAAATACATCAGACGTAAGTTGAGTAGATTATCAATTTCATTTATGTACTACAATGAATATTTATTTCTGAGAAAAACTGACCCATATTTCGCTCTTTATGATGTTACTGTTTGCTGTTGTATTAGGTAAAAGACCATAGGACAACCTCACTTTTCAAGTGATCAGCTTTTAAGTAGTGTAAAACAGAATCGTCTCAAAACAACTATCTTTTAGTTGCTTTTTGATTAACTATCTTCTGTTTCTTCTACACTAACGATATAAACCCATACAGTAATCTTTCTTGAAAAGTTATTATAAATTATTTTGACTGATATTATTAGTTCTTAATTTCTTCATTTGCTTGTTATTAAATCGATTTATGGTTAGAAAAACAGTTATTCTAATAATCTCTCTGACTAAGATAAACTGTATCTTTATATGAATACTTAAACAATCCTATCAAATATAGTTTAAGAAGACAATAAATCAAGGTACGTATAACGTTTATGGAACAGTGACATTAATTCAATGAAAGCCATTGTTAAACAATTGTTCATCATTGAATTTCTTTTCAGGAATGTCAATCGCTATAATTTTTTTGGAAAAAAGAAAACACAACTGAAGCAAACAAGCAAACTTCCATTACATTTCAAAAAGCCGAAATCAAATAATTCAATGCATGAGGATAAAAAGTGGATTGCTTTTAGTGAATTAAACTATTTTAATTTATTCGCCAATGACAATCGTTTTTTTCAATTTATTTAGTGGTCGATTCAAACAAACTGCTTTTAATTGTTTAATGAAAGCTTAATAATGAAATTTCGATTTTGTTTTCGCTGTTATTGATCAAATTCTGTGTTTGACTATCATATCAGCAACTGACATTATCAAAAGGATGAAAGTTAAAAATGTATCTTTTCATACATTCAGTTACTATTAGTTAGCCGTAAATGCAAAAGTTCATATTTGAATAGATTACTTATCTATGGCATAGTACTAGGTAGCTGCGCTGTAAGTAAATAACATGAATCCAAAGATGATGTCTATTAATTATTTTATACGATGACATTCTGTTAAAAAAGCTAAAATTGAAATTGAAATCATGAGTCAATTGCAGCTAGACAACCATGGAAAACCTGAAAGCACTGGACGACCGTTTCGTCCTATTGTGGGAATCCTCAGCGGTGCGCATCCACGGTTGAAGTTAGACATCAACACCGTTGGATGCCGGCTCAGTGGTCTATCAGTCAAGGGCTCCGGCACGAAATTAGTAGGTCCTCGGTTCGAATCTTGCGAGTGCGGGATCGTGGATAAGTACTTTTGAGGAGTCACATAATAGGACGAAACGGTCGTCCAGCGCTTCCAGGTATTTGATGGTTGTCTAGCTTCAATCACCTCATGACTTCAACTTTGATAAATACTGAAATCTCCACAAAACCTCTTCTGATTAAAACTGAAATAACGATGAACTTGACTATATGCTCTATTATTTATAAATGTTTTTGATTGTACTGATGAGTATAAAGATATCAGACTGTTCTAAGTATGAGTTTCAATTAAATCCTATGAGTAGAATAAAACATTAAACTTCCTCTTAACATAATTCGACTATTAAAACAAATGATCAAAATTAAAGATATAAGTATAACACGCATAACACAGGATATTGAAATATAGAACTTTTTTCAAATGACCTCTTAATAAAATCGTTTATGAAATCTATTTAATTTTCATTAATTTATCAATTTAATAAATGCAATATATTTATTAATATTTAGATCAACTTGTAATGTGTTATTAGCAAAGATAAATAGTGACTAGCAGTGAAATCCAGGACACGCGTTTCATCCTATTTGGGACTTGTCAACTGGATGTACCTGCATCTCAGAGTTGGTGTTCACTCTGGGACTCGAACCTAGTACCTTTAGCTTCAAAAGCTATAGCGTTATCCACTCAGCTACTGAGTCGAAGCAATACGCACAGTATGCACATATGCCAATAAGAGACTGACCGGTTGCAGTCCCAAACATCAATAGGAAGATTCAAACAAACAATACTTAGTCTATTTGTATTGTGTTTATTGTTTTATTGAGTGTTTAAAAGAAGAACACATAAATTTAGAAGAAAAAAACAAAAAACGATCAAAATTTAAAATTGTCAATCGATTTCTATCTGAACTTTTTAGACAAAATATAAATTACTTTGAATATAAGAAGTAAAAAATTTATAAAAAGAAATTAACTTCCGCTTCATTTTTTACGTAATTTTTTTTCAATTTTTTTTATTTTTATAGTTTTTTATTCTCTATGACTTTTGGGGTATTTATTTGGAGAAAAAATTAAAAAAAGATTTATCTAAGTAACCTTGAAAAATATTGAGAAATCAGTTTTATTTTATTTTATAGATTTTTGAGTTACTTTGTCAATTACTTTTTTTCTATATAAAGAAAAAAGAAAAGGAAGTTATAAAATTCTAGGGGGGGGGATTATTTTCATTTTTTAAATTAAAAAAAAAATTATTTTATTAGATTGAGAATGGATATTAACTTTTTTTTTGAAAATGTTACGTACTTTATGATGTTATGTAACTCTTTTTGACACTACCTACATTATTTGAAAAAGGTTAATTGACTGATCAATGTTAATATATAAAACGTCGGATATATGTGTAAGTTAACCAAATGAAATAGAATCAATGCTGATGAAGGTAATTTCTAATCCTAATTAATCAATAAATGATTATAGTTTTTGCAAGATTCTATTACTAAAATGTATTATGAGTGCAAGTTACACCTTCTTTCCTAATGTAATATTATTTTAAAAAATAAATCTTAGCATAGAAATTAGCACCAATATTTGCATAAATGTAATAAATAGTTAGCCTATAATTATTTAATCAATTCAAACAACACTATATCAGGAGGTATGGAAGAAGACATATCCCTGAAAATGTGATAGTAACTAGAATATTAAACTTAGGGTGATTGCTGATAATGTGCAGGTATCAAAGTTTATCAAAAATAATTTTAAATGATCACGATACACAGAATAAGACATGAATATACTAATGAACTTGAAATGTTCTCATTCATTTAAGTATAAATAATCTTGTTCATAAAAGTTCTAAACCTCCTTCCTTTGAAAAACTGGGACAGTGAGGACGAATGTTAATAAAATAATCTGCGACCCGGATTATTAATATGTTATTCAGAATTTTATCTCTCAGCTATTACGTTAATAAACCCCTTTAACTGAGTATAGTGAAACATTATGATGAAGTAAAGTTTCCAACAATTACATATTCAGTATTTTAGTTTTTTGAATCGCACTCATGTCAAGGCGTGATCCTCTTCTAATTAAACTTCTTTAAATATAATGAATAATTACACATAAATATTATTTGAAATATGGTCATAACTTCTGTTATACTCAGTGATTACAGGAACATTAGTCAAGATGAATTTATTAAAATTACTCATAAAAAGACTATCCATGTAGGCATGAAGTTTACCCAAAAACTAGTTAGCATCTATTAAAATATTCTACATAAAGATTTCCTAAATAATTGAATGATTATTCAAATACGGTAATGAGGGTGAAACATAATTTTGAATTATGAAAACTACACATATGACCATTATGATAGTTAAGATTTTGTTAAAAATTTTGTTCTTAGAACACATAGTCACCGGTACAAGACGAAGTTTTATTTATTAAGAAAATATAGTTACGAACAGAATCTGGCACAAAAAGAGAGTAAAACCGAAATGATGTTCATCCCAAAAAGTACATTCAAGATGAGGTGAGATATATATCAGGTTTGTTGCTTATATTTGTCACTTATAGACAAAAATCAAACTAGGGCTATTTTACAGAATAAATTTATCATAATTTTCTCTGAAGGTTAAACAAGTACGAAACCGAAGTTCCTTGGTTCGATCCCTGCGTGAGTGTAATAAATCTGCACTGCTACAGAGAAGTCTCATAATAGACCGACATGGGCATCCGGTGCTTTCACGTTTTCAGTTGTAGTTTAACACTATCCGGTACATGATTTCAGTCAGACTCAACAATCACCACAACCCTATACCCAATATTATACTAATCTGTTTAAGTTACGTGATTATTATTATTTTTCAATATTTTCCTACATTTTTAACTTCAAAATCCTATACCATGTGATTAAACTGCTCTATGATTTACTTGAATTTAAAATAATAAAAGTTTATACCTTAAAAGCATTACCATTTCACTAATTTAGTTTTTTTTCTCATTTTAAAATAAGTTTCATAATGTAACATAAAAAAGCAGTGGTTGTTGTGCTAAAGTTTTTAAGTTTTATGGAGACATTTTTAGTGAATATAAATTCATTTTTGCTTAGTTACACATGGTTTCTTTTTCAAACTAGAAAAAACAATCAAAGGTTTTTTTCCATTTCTCGTGATCGAATAGAACAGAGTGAATATATATGGTTGTTGATTAGGTTAGTCTGTAACTTGACAAAAATACACTGATATATTCTGCTAAAACGGTATGTGTTAAGCCTTTTCTTGATAATTTTTTTCTAGTCATTAGATTGTTTAATAGTGTTGTTTTAGGTAAAGTCTAATATATTATATAAAATTTATGATTCATGAACTTGACTTAATACATTTGCATATAGTTGAAATCATGAGTCAATTGAAGCTAGACTACCATGGAAAACCTGTAAGCACTGAACGGCTGTTTCGTCCTATTGTGTGACTCCTCAAAAGTGCGCATTTACGATTTCGCCTCGCGAGATTTGAAACCAGGACCTACCAATTTTGCGCGCGAGCACTTAAGCGATAGACCACTGAGCCGGCATCGAACGGCTCTAACTTCAACATCAAACATCTGGGTAACAGCATAACAATTTACTTTATTATTGTGACCTAAGCGACATTAAATTGTGATGAATATTTAGGACTCAATTTCTTAGCCATCTTAATATCATTTCATTTCTATTGTTAAATGGTTTTGCTGACTGTAAAAAAACATTTGGCTATGTATGTTGTTACATTTTAATGCTGGATACATTATCGGCATTAAGTACAAAACAAGGAACATTAGCATATTTGCAATTTTTTTTACTTAATTAGTAGTGAACAGACTTTGTTATTACTATATGAGTTATCTGTTTTTAATCATCTGGATATTGGATATATTAGTACCTGGATAACTAATCATGGTCTTAGGAACGTTCACCTAGGAATAACATGAACAATTTTTAAAAAAAATACTGTTTTTTGGATATTTTCTCAATGAATCGAACAATCAAGCACATTAATCATTGTAATTATTATGGTATCATTGCCTAACATTTAGTTAATTCGACTTACCAACAAGTGTAATACGTTTATCGGTTGTTTGAATAGGAATTTCATTTTTTAACCAAATCACTGTAGGCTGTGGATCACCTGATACTTCACAATCCATTCTGGCCACATCACCAACAGATGCAGAGCTAGCTTTTGGTGGTACATGTATAATTGGATAGCCATCAGGTATACCTATAATAAGCAGAAATATATTAGATTAATTTAAATTAAAATAAAGTTTTATAAATGTTTTGTTTAAAATGCTTTGATAAATTAAAAGAGAAGAAAGTTATGAAGTGTTTGGCAATATCAACTACTACAAACAGGTTACGTAATCTTCTAAAGATTAATAAAATTTACCACCTTTAATTATTTAAATAATATAGTTGTGTCCGTAAATTTATAAGATTTGTTCATAAATTTCTAAGTAGCATTCTTTCAGTAGGGCTATTAAGTCATCAATAATAAATGTATTTTATGTAGCTAACAGTCAGTTATTTGATGATTAAAGTACATTAGTTTTTTGAACATATGGTTAAGGGAGATTATTTAATAAGCACTCGGGCAACATGACAGCCCGCATACAAATCTAGTGACTTGTGAATGTATTCGATGCCCCCTTGTACCAATATTTATGTATTCAAATACATGAATAAATAATCTATGCATGGTGAGACTATAATTTATAGACGACCTTTGAGAGGGGCTAGGGTGATCTTAGGAGTATCCATCTAATATCAAAAAACTAAATGAAGATAAAGCACCATGAGGAGTCAGAATTATGATTTCCAGTTGATCATTAAAGTTAGGAATTCGATTTACGGTTCTCATTACAAACTGACATCAACTACAATGTGAAAACGCTAATCAGCCAAATAGATGAATAAATTTCGAGCCAAAATCCATGACGTATTATACGTGGTTGGTTCGTTCATAAATTAGTCTCGCCCTATGCACTTTAGATAAACTGATATATTATTAGAAATATATAATGACAATAAAATTAATTATACTTGAATAATTATGAAATATCATTTAATCAAATTTAGGTAAAGTGAATTTTTTTTAGACTTTATATTTCTAATATGTGTTACCAGGCTGTATGCATCATGAAAATTTGATGGATACTTCGATTAAATTGAATTGTTAAAGAAAAAAAACATCTTAACCATATATTGCGCCCATAGTTTTCTGAAAAATGTATGTAAAATTATATTTAATAAGTGCTATAGAAGTAGCTTACAATGTTTATAGACACAAATTGATCACTGAGTAGTGAACTCTATTATGTTTTAAAGTCCTAAGTGACAGTTCAATTTTATTGTTGATGTTATAATGTAGTCAACAGTTTGAGTGAATAGATAGTATTGTGTATTATTTCTAATGTTTGGTATTTGAAAGCACTCTGCTGGAAATCCAAGATCAAAGTGAAATTACAAACTGTCATCATCATAAATTCTTATTTATGTTTACCAAGGAATTCTAAACTTAATAGATAATAACTTTGGTAGATTCAGCTTATAACCTGCTAAATTTGGACATCAACAGTGATAGACTATCTTGCGTTAACCAATTTTACTATGCCTAAATCTTGATGATAGGATTTTCAAACTTTTGTCCATGTTTATCACCTATTTAATAATAACAATTATAACTTGAGACAAGAAGAAAGCTTTATAATTGGCTCTCTTGAAACCATATAAATGAAGCAGTGAATTAATTGGTAAGAATAACAAATGATTCATAACAATATGTGTTCATTTAATACCTATTTTCTTAAAAAAATAATTAATTGTCAGTGTTATATGGCTCAACAGAAAACTAACCAGTTGACGCTTTTCACTGATTTTATGGCTAATATCAGTTTCTGTTCAATAAATCTATTCATGTCAAAATAATTTCTACAACTAATAAACTAGGACTTATATGCAAAGAAGTATAGTGGCTAGCAGAGGAATCCAGGGCACGCGTCTCGTCCTGGTTAGAACTCTTCAGCTGAATGTACTTGCATCTCGGAGTGAACATCAAATCTTAGATGCAGGCACATCCAGCACATATGTCAAATACAAGACTGATTAATTGCAGTCCCAAACATCAATGGGAAGATTCACGTAAACAAAATCAAATGAATCTAAATGGAATTACTTAACATATATCAATTAGACAGTATCGAACATAATAATCATATTTCCAGATAAGCTTAATCATTACTATTATTCATTCATTCACTTGATTTATCCTGGACAATAAAGTATGAAACGAGTACTAATCAATAATAGCATATTAACAGTACCTATTCATATTACTGAACGCTAAACACAAGTAACCTGACCTTTGTTATACCGTTTCCTCTTTCACCATTTGTCAGTGCTTTCATATTTAAAAAACAATGAATTAAAGAGAGTAAGAAGAATAATATGACTAAGTACTTTGTTGTTAATGATTGTCAAAAATAAAAATTACATTTGTAATTCATTTGGAAGTACTGTTTCATCATATATACATTTAATTGTAACGATTATAAATAAATTAATATATTTGTAATACCCCAATGAGTAGAAAAATTTGATTTTCTGACGTTTCGTGACTCAGTGTAAGTCATTTCTTCAGAGAATAAATAACCAAATTAACATCAATCCAAGTTTAAATAGTACCTGTAGAAATATTCGAGATAAGCGTTGAGAAGTCTGGATAGATCTCCAGGAACATTCTGGAGGTTTTACAAAAAGAGATTTCGGAATAATGTTGTCTTGTAAACATCGTTTATTAAATATTCTGTGATTGTACCAAATGCATTTACACTTAGATCATTTGATCCGGTTATTAATGATTACGTTTTATTGATGTTTTTATTATGTTTTATTGATTTGAATTATTCTTAATTTATTCAATATTCAAAATAATAAATTTAATTGTTTGACTATTGAAAATTTTTCATCTACGAATTTTATTTATGATAATTAAAGTTTACATAGGAAACCTCACTATTAAACAAATTCTGCTGAACTAAATATATAATGAGTTTGTAATTAGTATAATTTAGTAAAATGGATTAAGGTTGGAATGATCATTTCTGAAGTTACTATTATCAAACATTCTATCGTTCAAATCAATTATTATTATTCTGTGACTAAGTAGGCTTTTGAGTTAATAAAATAAGGTATTAGTTTTAAACATTTACACCAATGAGTGATGTGTGCATTTATTTGTAACACTTACTTATACCTGTTACTCCTCATAGAAGAGCATAGGCCACTCATCAGCATTCTCCATCCAACTCTATCCTGGGCAATTTGTTTATTTATAATAGAGTAAAATAAATTAATTTTTTTTGTCATTTACAAGGACTGATATTGACGTGTGTTTTTTCTCTGAGCTGGATGGTTTGGTCGTAGAGCTTTCATCGTCCTTCTGAACGACATCATCAAAATCACCCACCTGAGCTACAAATCTTTTCCACCATCTCACAAGGACTGATATGTCTAGACTTTGACTGGAAAGGTGAGGACATGTGTCTCAATGTTCTGTTTTTCTTCAGTATTGTGTAAGATAAAGGGTATTATAATTTCATTTGCTCAGAATAAATTAGTCACTATGAAAACTCAAACGTTCAGCAATTGAGTGCTTCCTATGTGTTTGAAAAATGATTTAGGGTTTACGCATAAACTATACATGTGCTGTATCAAAACTGGCATTGAATGGAAGATTTTTATAGCATTAAAACTCATTCTGGACTTAGTGAAATGTAATGTTGTAAAATGACACCACACCACTGCACTACAATAGGAAGGTTCATTTTTCATGACATCATTGCGTATTCTTATCAGTGAAATCACTCAGTAACTAGGCTCTTTTATAATAAAAGTTCATTGATTTAGAAAAATCTCAGGTGAGTAATCAATGATCGTTAAAAAATTTCTTAAAAACGTTAGGAATAATGATGTTCGATCGATTATCTTGCTTTACCATTAATTTCTGTTATAAGGTGTTGTTCAGACTATTGAATATCATAGTTGGCATTTATCACTGATCTTAGATAGAAAGCTAATGAAACCCATGAATCAATAGACAGCTGTTTCGTTCTAATATGGGAGTCTTAGGCACTGAGCATCTATGACTTTAGCAGGGGTTGAACCCGGAGCTTTAACCCTTGAATAGCTAAGTGAGCACCTGATGACTTATATTTTTGAGTTCAACCAATTCGCTATATTGAGAATTGCCATGCTATAAAAAAGTAACAGTCAGGTGCTTTTTGTTGTTCCGCGATTTTACAACAACGACCAGTCATTAACAGACTACTTTTCTTCAATATCAATAATACTATTTTTGTGGATGTGTACATTTTTATTTCTTTTGCTTGTGAAACACGACAACATTTAAAGCAAATAAAAAAATATTCATTCTAAATATCACAAAAGGACTTATGTTAGAGATCCATTAAAAATTATCGGGAATCAACGTTTATTTTCGCTCTCTTTGTTTCTTAATGTCTCCTACGGTTATAGAGATTTAAGATAGCGAACAATATCAGTTCCAAAAAACATAGCGCACCTTTAAACATAAAATATTCAAACAGGAATGATAACACCGTATATAGACCTAATGGGTTTTTTAGTATGATGATACCATCGATCACAATCTGATATCAGGTTTGAAAAATTTTAAGCTACAAAATACATCAATTACCATGATGACATATTCTGATAACAGAAATATATTGAATCACACAGAAAACCTCACATTTCTCTGAAAATGCTGTGTCCAAACAATAAAAATGTGAATGTAACATGTGAAGAGTCTACCTTATGATTAAATGTCTTACATTTGATATATTTATAATGTATTATACTAAATTTGTTTATTAATTTCTAACTAATATTCATAAACTAATTTAAACAAAATATACGTTCTTCTGAAAAGCTGTACATACTTAGAAAAGTTCAATAAAGTCGCAACAACGGCTGGTAGATATTTAAAATATGGACCTTAGGATTTTAACTCAGTGATTTAGAGGTAACATCTAAATCTTGACAACTAAAGTCCTGAGGTTCGGTTGCTAGCAAGATGGAGATTGAACATAGCTAGTATCTCAAGCTAGGATAAAATATTTGTCCATTAATTAATAGTTTTTACTGATTTTTCCTTCAACAGTAGTTGAATACGAAAACTCTATATTGAATAAATTCTTGTAACTTATTAAACAAAAACTAATTTCTAACTATCTTCTTCATGGGGAGAATACTTTTCTCTAAAAATGTTTACCAAGGATAACGAATGTTTTGGAAAGTATATACTTATAAATATTTGATAAAATAAAGATGCTTTCAAAACGATTATAATTAAATGTCTATAAATAAAAAGTCATTCCAGGTTGAATGTATATAGTTGAATGTTACTTCAGCTCACAGAATTTCATTTTATTAATTTTCATTATAATAAAAAATCTGTCTTCACTTTTTAGCCAGTTGCGTTACCAGGTTAGCCATTTGACTGTAGAGGAAAGCAATGTTAAAAATAGTAAGCATGTATCTATAGTCTTTTTTAATGCATTTTAAGGAAAATTGGTGGTTACAATTTACGGACAACCTTTGAGAGACCAACGTAATAACTAAAACTAAATGAAGATTATAAAGCACCGTAAGCAATCAGAATTATGATTTACAGTTGATAGTTAAGGTTAGAAATTAGATTTATAGTTTTCATCACAAACTGACACCAGCTACAATATCAGAACAGCTATTTAGTCAAATAGATGGATAAATTTTGAGCCAAAATTTATTAGGTGTTATCTTATACATGTTTGGTTCATCCATAAATTACGGTCTCACCGGTAAATTTCCAACTGAATATAACGTATATTAAGTGGTGTTAGCGAAAATGATAGTTAGGGTTGTTTTCAAATGTCAGTCAAACTTCAGGATGAATTATCCTAATCTTCCCAAAGATTATTTATGGTGTTTTGTCGAAATTTGATTGTAAGCTACAGAGATTAATTTATCATGTATCAGTATTAAAAGTAGTAGGAAAAATATTATGTATTCAAGGGTGAAAAAATTAAATCAAAGCAAGTAAAGATTTTCGTAAAATTCACTTACGATCATTAGTATCATAAACTGTTAAATAAGCTGTAGCACTATCACCTCCAACATGATTCCGTGTTATGCATTGAACTTGTAAACCGTTTTGTCCTCGGTGTACTTTAGTTAAACGCAATAAGCTTCCATCTGGAATATTTAAAACTCCTCCGACACCAGGTGCCGGCCGGCTTACTTGACGATCAAGAAGAAAATTTACTGTAGGAGTTGGATTTCCATTTACTCGACAGAAGAATAGAGCAGTTTCACCGCTGATTACTTTTACATTACTTGGAGGTTCGATTATTTTTGCTGGGCCTGAAGTGTATAAACACAAACATGATAGATTATAAAAAAGCCAAGAAAAAAGTGAATTTCTTGTAAATAAACAAAATCATCCAACAAGTTGTGTCATTATCATTCTAATATCATTGAATCTCTTAGATTAAAGATTAAACATCAGTTAAATAGTGAATGTTCTTCATATCAGTTTCAGATTTTTCATAATCTAGAATGACCAACAAAATCACTGAGATCTTTTTTAAATGAGGGTTGTCAAATTTGATCGACTATTTAATATTCGTCATTGTAACATCTTAAGAATTTGTCTAAGGTGTTACATTCTCAGAACCTGACGGGAAATAGTCCTTTTATAATATTGATCCTGAACGACAAGTAATCTCTATCATCTCATCTAAATATTTAATTTTAATTTTCCTGCTGCCAAAAATTCGTTTTCAATTAAGCCGGACAACATAGCATTCAAATTTTCTATCTACTTGTAGACTAGAATGCTTAAAAAAATGTAAAGAAATATGTGAAAATTATTAAACTGTTTGTCTGCATTATTAAAACTGTTTTGCTTTCATTAAGGTTTTATGATAATAATTTTTAGTTTGTACTAGGACTCTCCTTTAGGTTGGGAAACTGTAAAAGGAGAGAACGTGATAAATAATGTAGAACATTTTAAAAGGATAATTATTGTTATGTTCTAACTTGACAAAAAAGGTATTCTTTCTGGTTGGGCATTACGTAATACTCGATTTATCGGATTATGCAACCATTTTCTGTACATACTATAACACTCAGTAGATGCATTCGTAGTATATAAAGAGATCATGAACATTAACACAAAAGAAGGTTATACAATTTAAAATCCTCAATCGTTAGGAATGAAAAATCGTGTATGTTTTGCAATAAGTTTCGTTTTTTTTACTTTATATTCATCTACATCTCATTTCACTAAAATGTAGATTATATACAACCAAAACTTAAAAATGATTGATTACCCGAGGTGATCGTTAGAAAATATGTCATTGTGGTTTGTGTATCGTAATTGACTTAATTCTCAATCAAGTTTCATATATCCTTTATTCAAATTAGTTTGACCTAAAGGGTTGTTAGTTATATGAACCATCCACCTACTAAAAGAGTATTGAAACATTATTATTCATAATTACAATGAAGATATCAGAAGGGGGGTTTGTGGAGATTTGATTAATTTTCTTTATTCAGTTGAGATCATGAGTCAATTGAAACTGGACCACCATGGAAAACCTGGAAGCATTGAACGGCCGATTTGTCTTATTATGGGACTCCAGCCATCCAGGGCTTCCAGGTTTTCCATGGTGGTCCAGTTTCAATTGACTCATGATCTCAACTATCTAAAAAATACAATGAAGATACTATGCTCAATAGTTTATGCCATTTGAAATACATACTTTTTCACTGTTTTCATGTCAACATTTCTTGTTGTTGAGATATATACTATAAAGCTAGAATTTAGTTTCATAAGTATAACAGTGGTATGTGATATTCTTTGACAGTCAACTAATTTTCAAACAGAAATTAACTGATATGGTACATATGCAAGAAAAAGGGATAATGAAATTTTTATTGCGATTATAATGAAGAACTATTTTCTTTGAAATACATTATACCAGAAAACTATATCCCTTTTTAACTTTATACTATCTAAATAATGGTATTTCAATGAAACAGAATATTAATGAGATAACTTTGAAATAAAAAAAAATTATTTCTAGAAATCATCATTTGAACTATGATCATAAGCTAAAAAAGGAAGGACTCATAACAACATAACGTTTTAGCGCTTTTTTAGCGAGCTAGTTTTCTACGGGATGGGGTCGCTAACCCAATGCCCAACCCTCCTCCTTTATCCGAGCTTAGGAGCGACAGTAGCCGCCGGAGGAGCTACAGGTGGAGTTTCATAGCAACATACTGAAGTTAAATGCCTCTTCTAGTTCTATTAACATTATATATAATATTTCAGCCCTTATAAATTAGTCTATAAAATGTATCCATCTTCTAAACCTGTACTTTTAAAACTTAAATCATTGAAAAATTTCAGAAGAAAATTAGAATTCAAATGCAAACAAAACATTATTGATTAATTATTTTTCAATATCTCGATAAGATTACGATGATCAAAGTGTTTAGATTAACATTATAATAAGGTAGTTGAAATAAACAGTAGTTGGAATGAATATAATGATTTTAATGTTTTGCCAATTAATTAGACATTTGGTTTATCAGTGAGGTATGCCAAATATTAACTTAGGCTAAACTATTTCAATTTTTCAAAAGATTTTTGTAATAATATTCATTAGTGAGACTATAATTTATGGATGAACCAATCAGGGATAAGGTAACAGATCATGGATTTTGGCTCAAAATTTATCCATCTATTTGGCTAAATAGAGTTTTGACATTGTAGCTGAAGTCAATTCTTTATGAAAACCGTAAATCTAATTTCTAACCATAACTATCAACTGTAAATCATAGTTCTGGTTCCTTACGGTGCTTTATAATCCTTATTTAGTTCTAATTGTTACGTAAACATTCTCAAGATGATTTTATAGTCGCTCAAAAGTTATCCTTAAATTATAGTCTTACCTGTTTATTCATTCATAAAGGTTTATAAAATAAATCATAGTTAAGATATTATTTATGGTAGGTTTCAATTCATTATTTAACGTTAATTGAATTGAACTAACAGGAATATTCTTTTGTTTTTAATTAAACGATTAAGATACAAGCTTAGTTAATAGTCTGTAGTATAGATATGATATCGATGTCTTTTATTTTTTATCTTGGTAAAAAAACTTAACAAATCAGGATAATCACATAGGTTCGTTAAAGTATGGATTTTTGATAAGATATAATATATCTTTTATTTAAATCATAGAGATTCTAGTGTATTCAGTCTATGTATACATTCCTAGTTCTATACAATTTTTGTTCATTCTTCTCATGTCTGTCTCCATTTCTCGGGGTAATGTGTTCTTTGGTCTTCCTCTTTTCCTTTGGCCTTCAGAATTCCATATGTGTTTTTTCTTGTGACGCAGTTTGGTGATTTCCTCAATGTGTGTCCTATCCACTTCCAACGATTCTTCCTGATTTCTTCCTCCACTGGATGAAATCTGGTTTGTTCTCCCCCACAGTAGAATGTTGGTGGTAGTGTCTGTCCAACGAATCCGAAGTATTCTGAGTAGACAACTGTTGATAAACACTTATATCTTCTGGATGGTGGCCTTCGTTGTTCTCATGGTTTCCGCCTCATACAGTACAACTGTCTTGAAGATTCTGATCTTGATGTTGGTTGACAATTATTTCGAGTTCCAGATGTTCTTCAGTTGTAGATATGTTGCGATTGCTTTGCCGATCCACGGTTTCACATCTGCATCAGATCCACCGTGTTCATCAATGATGCTGCCCAGATTCATAAAGGACTTTATATCTTCCAAAGCTTCTCTGTCAAGTGTGATTCGATTGGTGCATGCTGTATTGTATCGTAGAATCTTGCTTTTCCCTTTGTTTACATTGAGACCTATTGCTGCTGAGGTTACTGCTACACTGGCCGTCTTCTCTTGCATTTGCTGTAGCGTGAAATAGAAGAGCCAGATCATCTGCGAAGTCTAGATCATCCAGCTGTATCCTAGCTGTCCACTGTATCCCGTGCCTCCCTCCAGATTTTGACGTCTTCATGGTCCAGTCGATCACCAGGAGAAAGAGAAGGGGTGAGAGTAACATTCTTCTCTGCATTTCATAAAATGTAATGCCTATGTATGTCAATACTATTACCATATTGTAGTATGCTTACACAGATTGCTAGAAAAAATATGTATAAAATCACAGAAACACAAAATATCAAAAAAACGTTTTTTATTATTCACTCATTTTTCTTTACTTTAATTAATTAGCTTTTTTTTAAAAAATTCTTTGTTTTTCAATGTTAATGACTTTAGACAGAACAATAAATTTCTTGATTAAAAATTGACTTTACAGATTAACAAAACAATACCCCCTATGATGTGTACACACATAAATATGGATGATATTATTTTCAGGCATAAATTAATTGACTAAATAATTCTAAAAATACAATGAAAAAAAGAAATAAATTGAAGTAAATCATTTGAAGGTGGGGACCTTATTCCAAAAAAGTTAATTCAACACTATAAAGAGAAATTTGAATTTGTTTTCTTTTTTGTTTTTCTAACTATTTTTCTTTAATGAATTAAGTAGTTAATGATAGTGATAGTATCAAGTTCAGTATATTTGTATACTGTTAACCGAAACCCTGTAATATTCTCATATTCCATAAGTGTCGATGTAGTGAACAGGAACATGGATGGGGATAGTCTAATGTGTTTGTTTACAAAATTACAGAATATCTCATTAAAATCTGACAACCATACAGTGAACAGTTAATTTGCAAACTAATATTCAATTGTTTCAATCTTGACCGTCCCTTCAGCAAATAACAGTTCATCTTCTCTGATTTCATTGTCCATACATTTTCATACCAACTGCATTGCCTTCCTGTTCTTTCCTTATCAATCTTCTACTGGAATACATTCAATGCCTGACTATCGTTACAAGTAACTCACACCACACTCGTCTCCCCTTTTAAAGCATTTATTCTTGCGGTGATTCTGTTCGCCGTGCACACTTTCTTCTTTTACTGCAGTCTGTGCCGATCTTTTCATTAAAATGTCGAATCTGCGGCTAACTAATCTTCATAGCTTCGTCGACCTGTTCGGGTACCAAAATCCTACACCTACCCTGAACCTGGGACGCTCAACATAAATACTTTACTAACCGTAATAAAATCTTATATTCATTTACATTAGTCTACTATACATTAAATTAATACTGAACTATGATGCAACTAACTGACAGTTTAGTTGACGACAATAATGATGTCTAAATAAGGATATGAATACTAAAATATAACACTTTTATAATAAGCAACATAGAAATTAACGGTTTGCTGAATATTATATGTTTTCTTA